CCAGGGTTTCCGAGTGGGGTGGGGGGAGAGATTTGGGATCGTGTTTGCAGCTCAACCACGAATCCCTTTCTTTGCATCCTTCCTGACCAGGCTGGATTTAAGCAGGGGAGCAAGGGGAAGGGGAGGAAGGATGCGAGGATGGGGTGGGGGGAGAGAAAAAGGCACCAACTCACACTTGGCTCTGCAGTCAGGCATGCGGCGAATGCACAAGCAGCTGCTCTGCTCCTCTCGGCTGCTGCCACCTCTCACCTCCGGCCCCCAAACTCCTACCCCGGGACTCAACCTCTGAAGGCAGCAGAGCTTCCCCATGAATATTCATAAGATTAATATGAGCGTCTTCCCCCCATCATCACCACCAGCAGCTCCCCCCACCCCCCTCCTCCCAAGCAAGAGACCTAGATTTCAACCACTGGGAAATAATCATATCCCTGGATACAGGATGCTGTTTCACCAGCAGCTCTGATCCATACCCATATTCCTGGGAATAGCCTGGATGTGCTCAAGGAGAGCTAGGGGGGATGGAGAACACTTAGCTCTCTGCAGCTCTAGGGAAGATGGGGCAGGATTGGACTCTGCTCTTGGCCGGGGTGAGGATGTGAAAAGCACTGACTTCATAGAATTTTGCATTTCCTGAAGTCATAGAAACATGGAAAGTTAAGGGGTTGGAATGGAGCTTAGGGATCATCCAGTGTCAACCCCTGTACTGGGCAGGGACACCTCCCACCAGAGCAGGTTGCTCAAGGCTTTAGCCAACCTGGAATGAAACACTGCCAGGGTTGGGGCAGCCACAGCCTCCCTGGGGCATTCACAATATCCTCGGGGCATCCACAGCCTCCAGTGATTCATTCAGGGAGTCACAGAGTGTTAAGGGGTTGGGATGGAGCTTAGAGATCATCCAGCCCCAACCCCTGCCCTGGGCAGGGACACCTCCCACCAGAGCAGGTTGCTCAAGGCTTTAGCCAACCTGGCTTTGAACACTGCCAGGTCCCTTCCCTAGGAGGCATCTCCCACCCCAAAGGAGCTCCTACAAACACATAAGACCCATGGATCAACCCATGCCTTCAGCTGCAACCACGTGGATCACTCTGCCCCTCCCATGGCCCCACAAGGAGCACCAGGGAAGCACCAAGTCCTACAAGGTTCCTCACACCCAGAAACATGAGGGACGAGGCAATGGGAATATTTCTATTCCCATATTCAGTGATCAAATTTGTATGGAGCTGCCAGTGATCACTCCAGGGACACCCTGGGGTGGGATGGAGGGCGAGGAGCACCCTGAATACCTGAGAAAATCAGTGCTCAGTGCAGTAGGGAGAAAGTAGAGACAAACCACATTATTTCAGCTCCTCAAGGTGCTTGGAGAAGGTGACACAGAGCCAGGGTGGGTGCAGCACCATGGGGTGCAATCACCTGCTGCTCCTCCCAACACTCCTCTTCATCTTGGACAAAGACTATTCTCCCAAGCTCCAGCCAGATCCCAGTATTGGATCCTAACCCTAACCTCCTCGTGTGGAGACCTCAGAGCACCTGCCAGGAGCTGAAGGGACTCCAGGGAAGCTGCAGAGGGACTTGGTTAGGAGCTGCAGGGACAGGACAAGGAGGAATGGGGAGAAATTGGAAGGGGAAAGTTAGATTGGATATTAGGAAGTTTTTCCTGTGAGGGTGGTGAGACACTGACACAGGTTGCCCAGGGAGGTTGTGACTGCCCCAGGGAGGTTGAGGATGTCCCAAGGAGGTTGTGGTTGTCTCAAGGAGGCAGTGGATGCCCCAAGAAGGCTGTGAATGCCCCAAGGACATTGTGAATGCCCCAAGGAGGCTGTGGCTGCCCCAACCCTGTCACTGTTCATTCCAGGTTGATTAAAGCCTTGAGCAACCTGCTCTGGTGGGAG